AGGGAAAAGCCCCCAAAAGAAACCTTTCCCCTTGGAAAAAAATGCATGAGAGGGAACATCTGCTTAGTCTTATATTGGATACATTTTCTTCCTTTTAGAAGAAATAACATTCAAATGATGGTGACAAAGTTTTCTTTGTTAAAGGGAATACAGGAGCAAGGGTTGCTTTGAAGCAACACATTATTTAACGTGTTTCCAGGAAAGCCATTTTGAAAATGGTAATGAAAGTTTATTATTACACAGCTATTACTAAATTTAAATGAAGCAACTGTGAAGTTCAGAAAAACTTGGAAAATTTTAAAGTACATAGGAGATAGCTTCTTGAATAGTCAGTTAATAAGCCCTGAAAGCAGCAGGGTTCTGAGATGAACCTCATGCGCTATACAAGGACATCGTATAGATCTAGTGCAATGTCAGTCAAAAAAAAAAAATCAGTCTAAAAAATACTCTAGCTCTTGCTTAAAAGCACCCTTACTTTTAAGAATTGCATTCAAACACTATGCTTCATACACGCAGAGCTATTTTTATATTACTTATTACAGAAATTGAGCAGGTAAGAGAATCAGGCCACTTCAACAAGGTTAAGGAGCACGGAAAGTACAGCCTAGAAGCACATAGTAATTCTAATACACCCACACCACGTAGCTGCCCAACTAAGGCCAAAAACCTGATTATAAAGGTGCTGTACAAAGACAAAACCAAAAATTGGTTCCTGTTCGTGAGAACTTGTTAATCTAAGAAAAGGGATACTATTGTGGCGGCAAAAGGCAGGGCAACATTTGATCTGAGCTTCTAATTCTAGTTAAGATTCAGAGGCACCAAGGCCTTATAAAGTTTTATAGAAGCATTTAGCAGGATTGAAGTTGTGAAGGTGTTTATAGGGAGCCACTCCACAGGGGAGGGGAAAAAAAAAAGGCAAAAAAGCAACAGCATGCTTGATTTGAAAAATAAGCTGATCAGAAGCATATATCAACTATTTGGTAGGGAAAAAGAGGAAACCAATTAAAGCTATGAAAGGGTCTTGAATATGAAGACATACATTCCTTGGGTCTTGAATGTAAAGACATACATTTCTTGGATAGAGGAAGGAGGTAAAATGATCAAGGGCACAGTCCAGGAAAATGATCTTTTAAGAAGCACATTTTAAAAGATACAAGACTGCATTAGTAAAGGTCAAATAAAAGGACGTGGCGTTAACCAAAACATGTGTTGAGAATTTTAAGAATTCAGCCTTGCAAATATACTGAAAAAAATTCATACCTTCAAAAAACAAAGATACAGCATCCGTGACTGAACATGGCTTACTGTTGGAGAAGACTCTTTGCCCAAACCATCCAAATGCAGCTGAGGATTCCTCTTTGGGAAGAGGAGTAGGTCCCTGCCCTTTACCTTCTGCTCCCCCTCGGACAGCTTTGGCCAGCAGGAAAAGGCACACTCTTGACGCAGAACAGTTTACATCCTCATAACTCAAAAGAACTGGTGAAGAACTGTCATTACCAATAGTTTTTCTGTTGCAAGACACCATTTCCAAGACAGCCACAAACTCTGGCCAATGCAACGCGCTTCCTTTGCATCGTATTAGTTTGTGTATTGTGAGGATACGACACGCTCTTGGCTTGTACAGAGGCAAGCTGTTGAGTTTCCTTTCACCCTGACAGTTTATAACAGTAATCATTATTTTCTGCTCTGAAAATACCAATATTTTAATGATTCAAGGTAACTTCTAGTTAGATGACATGATATACTTACCTTGAAGTAAAACAGTGACACAAATTCACCTGGTAATAGTCTACCCGCTCTTTAGAAAAATGTGATTAAATCACAGTCATGTACTGAACAAAGTAGGTCACCCACAGCCATACAAAGAGTTATTTGTAGCCTTTGATTTGCTGTCTCACATTTCTGAGAAGATAAGTGTTCTACCTTCGGAGCTTCTCATCCACAAGCTGATGTAATTTACAGACAATAGAATCTATTAAAAATACAAATAGCTCTTACCTAAAAGTTTCATTATGGAAGATGATCTTTCTTCTTTCTCTATCAAGTTCGTCTGCTCTTAAGATAAAAAATTCCTGGACTACCTCTGCCCATGAGGTCTACTTGATATGGTATGCTAAAGCCATGATTGGTCGTGAACCTCAAGATACATTAGTTTGGTGGGAAAGCGTCTTCTGCGTCCTAACTTCTAAAGTGGAGAGAAATTTGGTTTGGTTTGTTTTTTTAAAGAAGATATTTATAGCCTGTACGGCTGTAGGGAAGAAAACCTGAGTGAATATTAAGCACGCAAAACCTACTAAATTAGAAAACCGAAACGCAAAGCCATTCTCCAGAACCAGATGACTTCTGAATGTTTGGCACTGGTGGCGCTGTTGATATTACACAGACACGATCTGTAGTAGCTCTTTCAAATTTAGGATACTTATCATCAGCCATACTAGTTTTCCACATCAGATTACAAAGTAAGGGATGGACAGGTATCACTGAGTATAAACGTTACCACCTCCAAGGGTGGAGATAACTTAAGATAAGATTTAAGATAATCTTAAAGTGAAATGGTAACCAAGGAGCAGTTGGGAACACCAGGTGAGTGTTTGGAGAAAACTGTGAGCCTTTTTCTTGGCTATCGGTGTTCCCTACTCTCTATTCCAACCGCTATAGTGTTCTGTACGATAACATATAGAAAAGCAGGACTTACATGGTGGCTGAGGCAATTTCCTCTCAGAGAAGCAGAGGTTTGCCAAATCACACAAACAGCTCAATAGTTTTACTTATTTTTATCTGTATTTGCTCTTAGCACATAATTAATTCTATTTTCAAAACGCATGTTAATTTTGAATAAGATTCCACATGCAGATTGTTAGGGAGGTATTCAGATCTTAATCGTGCTGTTCCACACTGAAAAAGGAGTCAGCTGCGGGATGAGGATTCATATTCTAACCATTGAGAGCTCACGTCTCAGCCCCAGCTGTGCCAGGAGCTAGAGATGCCAACCCGGGACTGAAGAGAATTTTGTTGTGGAGAACGAGAGAAGGAGACCTGGGGAAGGGAGGGAAGAAGAAAAGCCCAAAGAACTCTTTCAGTTACATGCAAATGCTGTAAATGTGTACCTCCCTTGCCACTTTTTAAAAAAAAATACATGCTTTTAAACATTTTTCTTCCCTGATTAACAAGCTGTAAGTATATACTGAAAGGACATATTAAAAACAATAAATTGAAAACCTAAAGAAGATCCTTTATTTTTGGTATTGCAACAAGGACATTTAGATTATTAGCAAACTGAATAAAATTTTGCTTTGATACTACAGGGGACTGCAAATGTAACTCAGTTCCAGAGATCCAAGTGTCTAGGTTTATGCTCTTGAACATCACACCTACAAGAGGTCAAGATTAAAATGTAAGTTATTTTGCTTAGGCAGGCGATAAGGCCAATTAACAATGTTATATCCTATATGTAAGGTGATTTATTATCAACTTAAGCAACGAGCAATCACATAAGCTGAGACCAAGATAATAAATTTAAAGTAAAATTCATTCAGAGGCTGAGAAATTTGCAATGATTTACATTGGCTTGAGAAGACATGGATACTGGCAATTCGAACCGATTGCAGTTCAAAAGTGGGAACGAAGGTAAGATCAATCTCTTTTACTTATTAGGTAGTGCTAAATACAGCAGACCTTTGAAAAACCCCTCCCTTACAGGTCTTTCAGCTTTTATTTTAAAGAGATCATTAGGATAAGGAAATGACATCACCCTGAGCTGGAATTCACAGCAGTAAGAAGATTCTTTAAAACATCCCTAGATGCATTTTCAGAAGTCCATAAATCCAGCTCATACCTTTTCCCCATCTCTGGAAAGAGGGTATTGTGTTTACTGGCAAGAACCTGACAGGTTTGATTTCAGTCATGGAGCGCACATCAAGCCTGACATCACATCAATTCAAAGTCTACGGCATCCAGAATCATATAGGACACACTTGCCTAGTATCCGAAACAGTAAAATCTTCACAGCTGACTCGAATCTTCATACAGAACATTATGAAAATGTCATCCAAGAAGTTGTTGGTTTGTTGGTTTTGGGGTTTTTTTTAAATAGAAACTGTGAAACTATTCTGTTTTCATTTAAAAATTGCTTAGTTGGAAAACTCAGAGGGAATGAAACCTTTTTCATAATAAAATTAAAATAGAAGTTAGTAATTATTATTTTATCTTTAACAGATAAACTAGTCACTATGAAATTAATGTAAGCCACAGCAGCCTTACATGGATAATTACACTTTTATTGATCCATTAAACCCAGAATATTTTAACCACATATTTAAAAGGTTATTATTTACTCTATAATCATTAACTTAGCTTAGCATAGCACATATATTGCAAAAGTCAATGAAACATCAGTTAACTGCTTAGGAAGAGAGATGAAGAAAGCAATAATACATCCAATAAATTAACCTGTTACGTGTAAGTTCAGAAGCACTGTAGCTTATTGAAGCTCCTTACTGATGGGGAGCGGTGGTCACAGGGAGGCCAAGGTCTCCTGCCAGAAAAATTGTGGAATACCAAGGAAAGACATCCATACAAGCTCTACTGAGCTAATTGGTACCCATGTGCACATCGGTACCCACATAAATCCACTGCATCCTCAGTAAAATGAAACTCCTTGGAAGAATCCTTGTGTAACGCTTAACCGCGTAAAATAAGCCTCCTCTTGCACCTAAATCTTGCATTATGTTCGAGTTTGAAAGAATCATTTATGCGCACACTTCAGCCTTACCATGGATCAGCAGAGACTAACACACAGCAGCATTGTGTGTCACCTCCGGGATGGCAGCACAATGCTTACAACTGCGGGAGGAAGGGAGGTCTATAAAAATATATAACTACTGTTATTCATTTCAGAAAACACCCATCACTGAAATACTAGTCTCATTTTAGCATCAAAAATTAGAAGTAATTTGCTGATTCGTACGACATCCATTCGGTGTGCGTTTTTAACATGTGGAAGAAAGCCAAACCACCCTCAGAGGTGAATGAGGGCAGGTGGTGTGGAGAGAAACAGCACTACTTATCACTGATAGCAGGCGATGGAAGTATTCAAAAGCACTTGCGATGGACAATAGAGGGGCCAGCTTCCTCATATTCATCTTTACTGATCCACATTTGCTGAAAAGTGGACAGAGATGCCAATATTGAACCCCCAATCCAGACAGAGTATTTACGTTCTGGTGGTGCAATCATCTAGAAGAGAAGCACAATCTGTTGTAAACAAAGTGACAAGCAGATAATGCAGTAAACATCTCTTTGGATGAAATAACTAGGTGAAAGTCTTTCCGTCACAGGAGCACAACTTGTATCTGGAACGCCTTTCACCCTTTTCACTAATGACTTGCACTGATCGCTAAACCTTGAAGCCTATAATATTCCCAGTATCTTCTCAAGTTGTTCATGCCCCCTTTAGCATTTACAGCTCCATCTTCTCTAGGTTCATCCCTACCTCTCTTGTTCCTGTGGTGCCTTTCAAGTAGGCCTTTTCTCCCTCATAACCCTACTTCATTGGGAATCCCACAGGACTGTATTCCTTAACTGTTGTTTCACATTTTCTCAAAATGACCTCATCAACTCCCATGGCTTCAGCAACCATTTACATTCCAGTACCTCTCCAATCCCTCTTTTAATTCTGCTTTGGCTGGTAGGAGGAGAAGAGCAGGTTGCCTGAGGCTCTTCTAACAGCAGGACTTGGGATGCAAGATCCAGACATTCTTTATGGACATTTTGATTTGTTTCTAAGATCTAACTTTCCAACAAAAGCTTCTTTTGTTGTAAGTGCGGGTGTTAAAAAATACCTTAATCTTCATAGTACTTGGAGCCAAAGCTGTAATCTCTTTCTGCATACGATCGCCAATCCCAGGATACATCGTGGTTCCTCCAGAGAGGACGTTATTAGCATAGAGATCCTTACGGATGTCGATATCGCATTTCATAATACTGTTGTAAGTGGTTTCGTGGATACCTGCAGATTCCATCCCTGAGTGGAAAGAAGTTTCAACATGTTATTTCTCTTTGTCGCCTTCTTTTTCTTACTGTTAAAATGAAAGGCAGGCTCACTAGTCCAAGCTGTGTCCCTTAAGAAAACTCCAGGAAAAAAAAGGAGCAGCTATGCGATACTCAGGAGAGGAAGGAGAAAGACAGGACATACTCCTCGCCTTCTTTGTCAGCTCAGCATAGTAATTATACAAGCAAAATACACTTGGGAGGAAGAAGATCCCCATTATGATTTCATGCCAGGTTTTTTACTTCCTCAAGTAAAAAAAAAAAAAAACCAAAAAAAACCACCTACTGAAGGAAAAATTTAAAATGAGGCTTTACTACAATAGTTTGCCATTTTTAGAACCTTTTCTGATGCTTTGTAGTTGAAATAGAAGCCCACTTGGCCTTTCAGTGTGCTACTTTACTTTTGAGGTGTTGGTTTAATTTGAATGCCAGTACAGTGAAGTTAACTTATGGTACTATTTTTTCCTAAAGAAAAGGAACAGACCAGATACAATCCTGGGAATACAGTTTGAACTTCAAGTACTGGACTTTTTAACTAGTTTAATACTATGACAAAGATTTGTGATCCAGGAAATCCTGATTTCCATCACTCTATTTCTGATATTGACCATTTTTAAGCACCAACTGTGATCCCAGATACGTTTCTGGCAGCCAAATCCCCCTATCTGCTAAAGAGAATTTCTCCTGCTGATGTTCAAATGCAGAACTTGGAGCTATATTAATGCTTGAATAGTTTCCTTTCTACATACAAACATAGCTAGCTTCACCGTTTAGTTTAATGGCAATCGTGCCAAACTGCCCGCAGCCATTTTGCTCAGTCCTCAGGAATGGAATTTCAGCGGAAAGTAGGAAATTTGTGAGGGCTGCACGAGTTACCACATAATGCATCAACCATCCACTGGATAGAATGGGAACTTTAACACTACAGATAAAACTACTGGAAAATAATGTACGATTTGATTTTGTATGATTAAGTTACAGATTAGTAAAATTATAAACAGAAGCACAATCTAGATAAAAAAAGTTATGTATCAGCCAGTCAAGATAAAAAGCATGATCTTCTGACAGTACTCTAAAACATCATCTTGGAAACTCTACTGCATTTATAATAGGTTGAAACCATCTTAGGATTTGGGTATTTCTAAACTGACAGGCATCTTTTTGTTCAGCAGCTGTAGCAGCAGTGTTCATAGCTTCTAAAGAACTAAGTTATTGGAACCCGCATGTTTGTAAGGATGTTTGAGGACAAATACCACAGTTTCTACAGCTGAAGGTTGTCTATACTATCTAAGAAATTCTTCTTTTCATTCCCCATCAAGTCCCTAGAAAGAAGAGTCCTTTCCCACCTATGAAGGATGGCTGGAAGAGAGTTTCTGGGCATCGGAACCGTTCATTCCCAATGGTGATGACTTGTCCGTCAGGAAGCTCATAGCTCTTTTCAAGAGAGGCGGAGGAAGCAGCAGTTACCATTTCATTTTCAAAATCCAAAGCCACATAACAAAGCTTCTCCTTGACATCTCTCACAATCTCCCGTTCCGCTGCAGACAGCCAACAAGTTTTTAATCAACACATGGTATGACAGCCAGAAAAGATTTTCTTATGCACATTTCCCTGAGTTCATGATGGTCCTGTGATTCATTAGATTCTGACCTTTCTGTTGTCTCAGCAACATTACTTTCCCTTTGCATTACCAAATTTCCCTCACCTGCAAATAAAACTTATATTGTACTGCAGAATACTATAAAGATTAATGTTTACATGTTTATGTCACAAAACCTTGAGGTTCATCCATTACCAGCTACTAACTTTGTCCCTTTGTCTGTGGAAGAGGTATGTTCAAACACAACCGCCAGTTATATTTGCCAGTGACTCAGGATTTCCTAACGAGGTGGCATCTTCGTCCTTGATGCTCAACATATATGCTGAAACCCAAAGTCAGGAGAACCCCGTTAGCAAACATGAACTGGTTTTCCCAGGTCAGCCTAGTGACAGGGATTTGGATGCATCTCGCTAGGTACACGCTTCCTGCGTAATAAGGCAACTAACAGGAGTAAAGGCATGCAAAGCGGATCCAAAGCACGGCTCGTTACCAGTGGTGACAAAAGAGTAGCCTCTCTCTGTAAGAATTTTCATGAGATAGTCAGTCAGGTCTCTGCCTGCCAGATCGAGTCTCATGATGGCATGAGGCAAGGCATAGCCCTCATAGATGGGCACGTTGTGCGTGACACCATCCCCAGAATCCAAAACTATTCCTGGAAAGAGAAAGAAAAGGAGAAGCTGGTTATTTCCCACTGATACAGGGTTTCCACCTACTCCATATTCTCAGCCGAAACATGCAACAACAAAGAAAGATGCTCACGTGGCAACTGCTTATGTCATTTCTATAATTAAAAAGTTGCTTACATGAGATGAAATCGTTAGCACAAGGTAGGCAGCAACTGCATTTGGGGAAAAAGGACACATAATATTCAGGAACTTGATTGTATTGTTCGCGCTGAATGGATGGTAGCAATAATCATCTTATATGGACTCAGAGGCTTTCATTTCAGGTGACCCCTCGCACTTTGAAGATGTGATATAATGTACAAAATGAACATAAAAATCTATCTATAAAATTAAAAATTTGAATCTGCCATTAAAATAAACGACCCCCTTAGGGAAAATATAGTGACGGTTTATCTGCACAGCCACGTTACTTATATTCTTGGATAGGAAATGAAGTACATGTTTTCCACTCAAAATGAATAAAGCATTTCTGATACCAAACATGCATACAAATAGTTGAATTTTAAACATAAACCAAGTATTTACGACAACTGTAATTCCTGTAAGCTGGTGATCTTTTTATACAAAATTTTATTGTGGCATCAGGCTACAAAGACAGTTGGTATTTTAATTTTTTTCAAAGTATATGAAGACTCAAGGGTTGCTAAGAAGTAATTTATCATCTCAATGTTTGATCAGACTCTAAATCGCAATAAGAAGAGACCTCCATGCTAATTCGAATGATCCCTTAACAGCAGACATCATTGGGTGATTGAAATTCAACATTTAAATGAAATATTTGGGGTTGTTTGGTTTGTTTTTTTTTTACTGGGAATGGAACTTATCAAAAGAGGTAGGTCTAAAGAAAGAAGGAACCATGGGTTTGGAACAATCCAGTTAAGCTACAGGCTGTTCTCTATGCTGTGCCATGAAGGGTAGTATCAAACTGTATCATCTTTCGTGTGTTCGTACAGTTGAGCTGCAGTCACTTCAGCTTTTGAGGCAGAAAGCCATAAATCTACACCTATATCTGCCGCGAAGTTGAAAACAACAGAGGCGCTTGCACAGCATGGTGGGCAGTATTCAGTTTCTATACGGCTATCAGTTCTTCTGAATGCACAGCTGGTGTGCCACAATCAACGTATTTCTGTGCGTGCGTATGGGCATATACATCCAGAAGAGAAAGACGGGGGGGAAAATACGACTCCCAGAAAGACTCACCAGTCGTTCTTCCAGACGCGTACAGAGACAGCACTGCCTGGATTGCTACGTACATGGCCGGCACATTGAACGTCTCAAACATAATCTGGAATGAAGAATTTGAAAACCTTTAGGTTCTACACTTAAGAGTATCTGAAGAGACAGTAAATTTCTTTTTTTTTTTGCCAGTTACGATACTATTCCTGAGTTCCCTCCTGAACCGTGGATCTTCTGTGAACAGCTTGCTATGTTTTCTTTAGGATTTAATTAAAAAAAAAAAAAAATCACTGTCACTGCAGTCAGTGCATATCCTTCCATTAACCTCAGACTAAGTCAGATTTTTACTGATAATATTAATTGAAGGTGACACCTTGGGATAACTTTTTTTACCCTGATGGCAGGACTGCAGCAATGCAGCAATCTAAA